GATAAAATTATATTATTAAAATAATTATTTGTGAGATTAATATTTTCTAAATATATAAAAGTAAATACCTACCTAAGATGATCAACTCCCATTATTATTTTTTACAATTTAAGAATCGTATATACACACTTTACCTACTCAGGTTGATTGTTATAGATATATGCAATGAATCTAAAATAAAAGAGCGCTGCTTAAACGAAAAAATAATTAACAAAATAAAACTAAAAGTGTACCACTGCAAGACTTCAAGACACAGTAAGTTCATTCTCCGTACATTGGACCATAAATAATAATTAAAAAGCTGAAGGTACTCCATGTTAATACTGACATTGGGATGTCAGACACCTCAGTCCCCTGTGACCATAAGTGCTGGTAAGCACCCGAAATTAAAAATTAAAGAAATTAATAGCGATAAAATCGGTAAAAGTAGTTGTTAAAAAACTGCGAAAAACAAAAATTTGTGCAAATAAAAACTTTTATAACTTAAAATCCCGACTTTTTTTAAATCAATACCTTAACTATTTAATTATTTTAATTGCATATTATCATTTCCATACCTACGCTTTTATATGTGGGCACCAATGGCCGAAGTGTCTATGAACAGTGGGCATTCCCCTTTAGCTTAGTTTTGTGGTAATACAGAGCTCCAAAGTATCCCCATTATCCATCTTAATATTTTTTCAAACCTGTGAAAAAAAAACTCGTTCTGCATAATTTCAATAAAAATTATAACGAACACTATAGCATGTTATATTTATATAGTCATAATTTACGGTAAAATACTACGGTACGGTGTACTAATGTAAGGGTGACAAAAAAGCACAGTGGCTTTAAAGCGCCTTTTTGTTAGCACTCAGATACATATTGTACTCTGGTTATGTATTCGACAAGACATGGTAGTACTCTTACTTTACTAACCTTAGCACTTTACACTCTCACAGTCTGTCTACGCTGAGCAATTTAGCATCTTACAAATTACTAATAAATTGATAGATTTTTCACAGTTCATATATATATATATATATATATATATATATATATATATGTGTGTGTGTATGTGTGTGTGTGTGTGTGTGTGTGTGTGTATATATAATCATATTAGGTCTTTACCTATGAAATTGCGGTTTTCTATGAAATAAGTTAACGTAATTGTTTTTCATATTTTTATTTCTATTACTTAATATTAATTAAGATTAATTACTTAAGATTAATATTAATTAAGTAATAGAAATAAAAATATGAAAAAACTACGTTAACTTATTTCATAGAAAACAAAATACATCGATTGCATGAGCGATTAATACTAAGTAATCGCTCATGCAATCGATGTATTTTTGATAAAGCAGTGGCAGCTTATTGATGACCTTCTTGAAGAAATCAGCTGGCCGGGAGGCAATAAATTCTTCAAAGGCATTTTGTACTGCCTCTCGGGTATTTTTACGGAGTTCCTATTTCTTACCATAATTTGAAATACCGGTCATGATTAAAACAGGACTTTCTTAATTAAAAAATAGTTTGTAGTAGACCGTTGACTGATATTGTCGCAAGAAGGGTTATTGTAGTATCACATAAACAACCAATGGTTACTTAAAACCTATACAACATTAAAATCCATAGAATACTATAATACACAATAGAATGGCTGTCAATTTTATTTTGTACGAGGTTCACAGACTGAATAAATTTACACATTTTAGACTTTTGATTAATGTTCAAGATCATCGTTAAAAAAATCGTTTAAATTTTAATACATATTTATTTGTAAATAGGGTGCAATTAGGCATTTTTTAAATAATTTGTATGCAAAATTTGGAAACGATTTTAACATCAAAACATATCTCGTGTCGATATTTATACGTGTGAATTGACGTGTTAATGACATTTATGTAGCTAAGCGAGCTCCGCCCACTCCCCCGTTTTATTATGTATGTATTATAGTATTGTATGTTAACACGTTTACTGCGGCAAGTAAAATCATAATACTTCATCTAGTGCGGCGGCGGGCCAAAATGCGCCCCCAATGATGTTTCCGCCAGTGCGTGAGTGGTCGATCTAGACCCACCAGCACTAGGATAGATTAAATTGCTATAACTTTGTGGAAACATAATGTATACATTTTTTTTTATATTGTTAGAATGAGCTTGAACCCAACGTTCATAGGTTTGATTCGCCCCGGGATCTGCCAAACAAGAAATGAGAAATAAAGCAGGAAAAGCGGCAGGCCGATATCGACCTGAACCGCACTAGAAAGTATTTTTAGTAGTGACGGGACAGAGAAAAATAAGGGGATATCGAAAATAAAACAGAATTATCGTAAAAGAACTGTAAAATGTTTTTATTTACTTATGCCTATCTTGGAAACATGTTACGCAAAGGTTTTGGTTGCATTTCCTGCAATATTTCTTTATTTTCTTTACTTTTTTTTTGCTTCGGTACTATTAAAGATTTTCCGCAGTCTGTCGTAGCACCCTGCACAATTTCTTCGTTTAGCGCTCATTTCAAGAACATGGTCATTGTCCTTAGGTTTTACTTGATTTTCTGAAATGAATTTTTTTGCTTAATTCCGTGTGATTTATTAAACATTGAGTTTTACCACAGAACTCGCGAAATTGAACAACTTTCCCCAGAGAACATAGGTCGAAATATGAAAAAAAAAATTGGCCTTCCCTTACAAAATTGACAACCAGCTGATTGATTTACTACTACGGGAGGTCCAACATTTTTTTTTCATACTTCGACCTATATTCTTTGGGGAAAGTTGTTCAGGTTCATGAGCACATTCACCTCCTTCAGGGTTGATACCCCCCTTCCGTTACACGGTGTATAAGGTCATTTTAAATTAAGTGAAAATATTTTTTGCGAATCTCAGAACAAAAATTGTTCTGTAACATGGGCTGAGTTACCCCACGGGAGGTTTTTGCGCATTTGGAATTACATGTTGTATAGGTGTAGGGTTGTCCTTCAAGGAGATAACTCAGTATCGCTTATACAACAACTTTCCTTATGGGACCCATGTTGAAATCTTAAAAAAATATTCTCACTTTTCATACAAAAAAAATCAGATAGTTTATTCCTCAAATACAATTTTTAATCAGTTGATCGGATCGGTTAGTATGGGAAGCCAAAAATTTTTTTTCGAGTTTACGACATGATAGGGAAATTTGTTATATAAACGATACTGAGTTACCTCCTTGAAGGACAGCGGTGATAACCCTAACAGCCTGTATATATAGGTATAAAATTATGTATATGGTGTATAATATAGTGGTAACAGGACCTAATGTCTATTTTGTGCTTGTAAGTGCTTGTGCAAGTAGACCACTTAAAGCGTTATTTTTATGATAAATGCAGCTGAGTGCCCCGAAATAAGAACTCGCATTATGTGTTATTGAGTAAGTAAACAGTGCCATAACATACCATAATAGAACAGTAGTGCAAACAACGCCAAACATTGCTCGCAGAAAATAGCAGAGTCAGCACAAAGCTCATGCACGAAGACCATGCGCAGCCACCGTAACACTGGTAATATGTTCAAAATAATGACAATAGTTACCTGTTGCAGATGTAGAACGTCTGACGATGTTGAAACACGGAAATGTAGGAATCGCCTTCAACAATAATCTACATATGCCTACAGTGATGTTACACGTCATTATACTTACTATCAGCGCATATACTTTTTCCAGTTAATGATTGCATTAATGCCTCTGTAAATTCTTTTTTGAAACCTTCTTATCACATTTCACGTTGTATGTGATCCACGCGTTTACTAACGCCATGCCTAACAAATATTCCATACCCACTTTTCTGAACCATTTGAGCCCTCTTTTTAATGTAGAATAGTATGAAGACATTTGGTCGCTGAAGTCAACTCCTTTTTTTGTTGTTATTATACGTTAAGACACATGTAGGCTTTTTTATATCTTCATTCGTCTTCCTATTTTTTTTGCCAGTGTTGACAAGCACATCTTTGTCCTCTTTGAGAGTAGATATCATTAGAAGTTGCCTTTTGTCAACCCATTTAATAACTTTAACGCCATTTTTATTCATAGCTCCTTTGATTTCACCCTTCTTCAACTTTAGTAACACTATCTCCTTAGGTAGCCCCCTTCGCTTCGAATTTAGGGTACCGCAATAACGGGTTTTTTGAGATAAGAGTTCTTCCGCCAATTCAATTGAAGAGTAGAAATTGTCTGCAATTACTACACGACATTTGTTCTCCAGCCCTTGAATGAGTTTCAGTACGGTGACTTTACCATGATTTTGTTCACGGCCATTTTCTCCCTTTCCAGAATAAATTATTGAATTATATATATACCCTTCTGGAGTGCATAACTTGTAAATTTTAACACCATACTTGTGTGATTTGTTTTTAATGTATTGTTTGAATTTCAGCCTGCCACGCCATGGTATCATTGATTCATCTATAACAATGAATTTACCTGGCGTTAATACTACTTGGAATCTGCTGTTGAGCATATTAGCCAAATCATGAATTTTCTTCAACTTATTTGTATTGTGGATGGCTGACGAATCATCACAAAAATGCCAGAATTTCAGTAATAGCAGAAATCTATCCCGAGTCATTACAGATACAATATATTCGTTTCGATATATTGATTTTTTTGACCAATAGTCATTTATATGAGACACTTTGTTCAGACCCATTGCGAGTAGTACCCCTAGAAACTTCCGCATTTCTATATTATTCGTAGCTTTTCATGATAATAACCGAGATTTTGTTTTTATTTCGTTATTATTTTGCTTTTCTGCGATGTGTTTTAACGCATATTTATTAGTTTCTGTAACCATTTTATCTATTATTTCATCAGTTACAAATAAGGAAAAAATACCTGCAGGAGATATATCTTCTATAGGAATATTAAAAGTGCTTTCATTTAAAGTACACGCATCCAACTCAGGTGTCAAATCTGTGACAGCATCCCATTCATTGACACTATTATCCTGTGCATCTTCCTCTTCCTCTGAAACATCATTATCTATATCCGATACAACTTCACTTGCAGAATATTCATCACTCTCATCATCGCCTGTGTCACCACTTTCCTGCTCTTCATCTTCCTCCTCAGTATTTTCCGTTTCTTCCTCTCTCTCTCTGCATCTTCATCTTCCTCTTCAGCATTTCCTGTTTCTTCCTCTCTCTCTTCTACATCTTCTACATCAACATTTTCTGTTTCTTTCTCTCTCTCTGCTTCGTCATTAAGTGTTTCTTTCTGTCTTTCATTTTCTTCAAACTGTTTATTACGTTCTTCGTCATAAAAAACACAATTTTCATTACTTTCAGTTAACCCTTGCGACATACTGTCTTCAAAAGAATAAGTGAATGTAAGTTTTGTCTTTGGATCTTTCCTTTCTATTTCATTTTTCTTTTTTATCTTTTTATTATCGTTTCTTAGATTTATCAAGTCATGATATTCGCTTTCATCTATTTTGATGCCGTGCATAAGCTTAGAAGCTGATATATTGTTTAGCGAAGGACTGCATCCTCTTGAGCTATACATACTAAATCGTTCCAATGACGATGAGCTAGGCGAAGACAATCCTTTTGATGTCTGTGGTGTAGGTTTATTTTTACATTCTGTAATGCAAAAAAAGGTAAGTGGAATAAAATTAATCTACACTAATATTATAAATGTGAAAGTTTAGATGTATGGATGTTTGCTACTCTTTCACGCAAAAACTACTGAACGGATTTAGATGAAACTTTACAGTAATATAAGTAAAAAATTAAATAAAATATGAAATTTTGAGAGATAGAGAGAGAGAGATATCTGTCAATAGATGCTCAGCAGAAACTATAACACTAAAAGCAAATAAATTATTTAAATTAAGACATACCTGTTTTAGTTACATGTGAAAACGAGACTGGTTTAAGAATATGAAATTTTCTTCCACTGGGGCTACTGAAAACGTCCGCTGTTGACAAAAAAAGTTTACTGTGACTCTTATTGTGTCTTATTTAGCGAGAAAAAGGAGTGTTGGGGTAAAAGGCGGACGGATTATGGTTCAATTCGAAAAGATGTTCAAAAAAACTAAATTTTCTCGACATCAACTGTTGAAAATAAATCATTAAAATGCAATGAAAGTCTTAAGAATAATCTTTTTCATAAAGGATGGTATTACATAAAAAATCCCCACGTCATTATGCGTCTAAGCCTGATATGTTGATATGTGTAGGTATTAAATAAAACTTACCGCTTGTGCTTTGTTTTCCGTGCACATTTGTTTCCAAATCCTTTTTTAGTTTTCTTAGTGGAAAATATTTCTTCACTGCTGTCACTATCACTGTCAATAACTGCAGGGCGAATTACTCTATTTTCCAAAATTTGTATTTTTCTTTTATTGCTTGCCATTGTTGATAATATCGGACGCTACGACAGAGCTGTTAGATAGCACAACACTAACTGGCGGGGCGCGCGCTCTGTGCGGTATCGGGTCGCCAGCTGCCTGGTGGGAGGGCGGGCCGAAATAGGCCCACTGCCGCACTCGCGGATGTTTTTTCACCGTCAGTGCGTGGTAGGTCAATAAAAGCCTGCCGTTATGTTTTGATGGGGAACAACTACGGCATTTACCGCAAGATGAAATATATATTTGTCTCTGTCGAATTTTTACAAACACCTGAGATAATCGTTTCGCACAAGCGAGAGGGACATAGTTTTCTTCGTCCGCACCAGTTCCAAGTACCGCGGCAGGCCGATATCGGCCTGTTACGCAGTAAACGTGTTAAAATTAAACTACGAGTAATAGTTTTTATCCGTGGTAGAGCTATGCTGTTAATATTATGGTTGTAGCGCGAATGGTCGGCTCGACCAGGAAATATCATGCTCTTACGGAATACCAGCGTAAAATAGCAGGTAGTTGGTGTGTTTTGTATGGGGAGTGCAGAGAACCGGAGACCATTTTTACAGGACACTATGCATTTCATCTTAATCCTCAGGAGTGACAACGCATCTGCATTTTGATTCTTAATCGAGGTTAGATATAGATGTCTATGGGCCACAGAATCCACTTATCATCAGGTGGACTGTGTGCTCATTTGTAACACTTATTCTATATTGTTTTATAACTTACAGAATTCATTTTCTCATTTCTGTGACAAAATACAAAAGATTTAAGATCCTTTTGTTTTTGACTTATGTCAAAATAATCCAGCTCCAGTTGGCGGATTTCACACGTCCCAAAAATATTTTTCTCTACACATGCGGTTATTCTCACGTTTTAGCCTAGAGCATATAATTACAATAAATTAACAATTCAAAGTATAATTTTTCACCAAAAATTTTTACTTTAAAAAGGATATACTGGAAAATTTTAATAATTTTATAGATGTTTTTATATATATTCTATATAAGGGTGACAAACGAGCAAACAATCCAATCCACCTGGTGTTAGGCCTATGGAGTGTGGCCTATGGACATTTACAACTATCCTCAAATTAAAATCAAAATGCTGAGGAATAAGATGGAATACTTCGTTTCCAATAAAGAGGAAAGAAACACAGCAGAATGAAGCTGCTATTTTACGCTGGTATTCTGTGCAAAAGTATATTCGTTCAGATGTTTGTTCTTCAATCAATCTTTAACGGATTTAATGAAATTTAGCATATATTATGTCATGGAATAATGGCTACTTTTCATAACATTTATTACTAAATTCAGATTTATATCCAGCGCAGCTGCTAAAATAATGAAGGTGTGAATTCAGGACACGGAGTGAATCTGGCTGTTGTTTTGACAAAGGATCTCAAAAAATAACGTATGGCAATAAACAATGCAATACTATTCCCTATTTTAATGTTTGGTAAGATAAGTTGGATGTGACAGAAGACGAGAAGGCGACAGGAGGAAGGTAGGCGACAGGAGATGGGCAGCAATGTTTTCCTAATAGCGACTAAAAATAAAAAACTGCAATTGCCAACCCCCTTGCCAAGCGTGGCAACTGTTGCAAATATCCCCGATATGAGGCCATCTATAGGGGAGGCCAAGGTTCAACAATGAACTTCAGTAGGCTGTAACGGTAGCGGTGACAGAAAAAGCATGAGAGTAAAACTAATGCTGTAGAAATGCAGTCGTTAAGAAGTATGTTGGCCTGACTCTGAATTATAGGATAAGAAATCATGTGATAATAGATAAGTGTGGTTTGCAAGATATAATGACGAGGATTAAGAAAGAAATGCTTTAACGACTTGGACGTGTAGAAAGAATGAATGTAGAAAGAGTGATTTAGCAAATTTATGCTTTATAAGTAAGTGGCATTTTGATTTGCTAAGGTGGTGGTCCTCTTCTTTTTTTATAAGTATTAGTGACAAACGAGCATACAGTCCACCTGATGGTAAGTGGTTGCTGTGGCCGAAGCCTAAATCACGCTATCAAAATTCCCAATCATAAACAGTATATATAGAACATCTCCGAACTAACAAACGGGGTGTTGGCCGCTCCCCGGGCAGAACACCTGCCCGGCGGGAGACACCTTGCCCTTTTCCTACTTCGGCCACGGACATCTACATCTATCCTCGATTATGAATCAAAATGCAGATGCGTTGTCACCCGTGGGAACTAAGATGGAATGCCTCGTTTCCAGCAAAATGGGTCTCCGGTTCTCTACACTCACCATACGAAACACAGCATCATTAAGTTGCTATTTGACGCTGGTATTCTGTGAGAGAGTGTTCCTTCCCCGGTCGAGCCGACCCATTGGTGCTACAACTATACTACTAATATTACTGCAGAATATCTCTACCACGTCCAAAACGTCTCCTGTATATAGCCTACCTATGAAGTAGGAACATGTTATACACAGACGGCAAGAAAATATATATGAATATAAACTCATAAAAGGACTGTCAGCTCCTCCAAGACGACTTAAATAGACTTGCTCTATACTAAAAAAATAACCGCATAACAGCTAATATTGAAAAATATATATCAATATCGTTTACCCATAAAATAAAACCTATACAGTATTCTTACCACATTGTCAGTCAACCCGTAACCAAAAAAAAAAAACATTGTTAATGACTTGTGAGTAACTTTAGACAGCAAACTAACCTTTTCAGAACACATTACATTAATAAACATGAAAGTCTGTAAAAATCTTAGGTTCATTGTGCGTGTCACCAAACCTTTTAATGATTTAAGTTGCATTAAAGCACTTTGTTTTTCATATGTCAGCAGCGTGTTGCGATGAAAACGTAATCTGTGCAAAAGTATATTCGTTCAGATATTTGTTCTTCAATCAATTTTTAACAGATTTAATGAAATTTAGCATATAAGTCAATTATGTCATGGAATACGTGTACGTAGGCTACTTTTCATAACATTTATTACTAAATTCAGATTTATATCCAGCGCAGCTGAGAGGTAGCGGCTCGAGAGTGATATATTATGCTAAAATAATGAGTGAAGTAAGAAAGACGGACCGAAACCCAAAACTCAACCCCAGACAGGTGTGAACGGAACAAAATATCGTGACGAATTTTATTTTGCCACTATAGATGCTATGGCTGCAGAGTACAAACTCCTGGATACTTTATTGAGTACGATGTTTTCAATATAATACTCAAGGCTTTTTCAACATAGGATTTAGGGTGGAATATGTCATTAAATCCTAATGCTTACCTCGCTTGCACTCAGTGTACCATGTGGATTATTTAATGAGACTGATGGGACATAACCAGATTAATTTTTGAGATGTTGTGGCAACTTTGAACCCTGACACAACGGCGAAAGGCGGCGCTTATAACTCACTGGTCATCGAACAACGCATGACGCTACTTTTATTAATTATAAGCAGATAATTTTTTATTCTCCATAACATGGAGTATAAGCAAGCTGCCTTTTATTGTACTTGCTACTCAACTCAACAGAGATGTTTGTTCATGTGCAATTTATGTGTATAAAACTCCACGACACAGGAGAAAATTCTAGTTTTTTAACGTTTTTTTTTTAAATTTGCCATGAATCGCTTGCTAGAGCCTTGTCTGAAAGTTATAGGACACCGTCACTGTGCTCATCAATCTGCCTACCCAGCGTGATACTTGTAGGTATTCCTTTCGAAAAATTTGTCATTTGACACATCCTTGGAAAGGCCTATATACACCAATGAACTGATAAATACGTTAAACGTTACAAGAAAAAAAATTATCTAATATTTTAAGTAAATTGAATATTGTATTTAATTAGAATTCAAATACTGAGAAATTTTGACAAGGTCACAGGTTACATTTATTTTAACATCTAAACTAGTTCAAAACACATTTATCATTATCATGTTCAGCCCGTAAAGTCCATTGTTGGATTATGTACCTTTCCTGTTGAAGAGAGGAATGACATTGATCGACACGCTTGGAGGAATGACGATCTTACCAGACGTCTCGTACCTCTAACGCTGCTGACATAAAATGTTGTGCACAGTTTATTACATTTAATGCGATTACTAGGGTTATCTGTTTTATAGATATACCTAAATGAAATTGTAGTGTTTGGCTGTAAGATCGAAATGCTTTTTAATCAGCTAAGGAGGTTATTTGCATGACATTACGAACTGAATAATAAATTGTAGAATTTTTGTTTATTTGTTTGCCTCTCAGAACAATGCTTTAGCTATTGTTCTGAAGTTTTTTTTTATCAAAAGTATTCTTACATATTTGCTTGATTTGTACCATTAAACCAATAATGGTTTGTTTTGGTACTCACATTCGCAACTAACGCACTGCTTTACATAAATATTTAATTTTTTTATCCAGGCTCTTCCGGAATGAACGAAATGGCTGACCCGATTGGTAATAAAACTTATCGAACAGATAGAGAATAATGATAGGAGTCATTGATGATGATATAGACTCCACTCAGGAAAAACCATGGGGGGTCAACTCAACAATTCAATTAAATTAACACTAAATAAGTAAGTGGTCACATTAATGTTGACATATACCGAGGACGTAAAGCGAGTCCTTTTGCATCCTACCCTACACCTCGGCTGCAGGTGCGATTTATGTTACGCTTGCGTGTGTAACATATTTTTAAAGCGTACGTAACTTAAACATCAAACATAAAGTTATTCCGGTAGCAGAACCATCATTCAATTTTTTATATGTGCGGGTGTAAATAAAAGTGTGATAAAATAATAGACGCAATAAAAAAAATTACTTTGTTGCTAACGATGCTTATTATAGCTCACAGGTTCTAGTTCAAATTGGAATTAATATTTGTGCGAATACAGTTGTTAGTTTTTGCATATAGTTGTGTTGTATTTGTCCTCATGATCGTCCTCTCTGACACTGTGTCTTCACTTACCTCCGATTTTATCCCTCAATATTTCCTCTTTTAAAAAAGGGATCCAAACCCAAAAACTC